TATCCACGGACCCAATATACTGTTACACAACATGCGTACTCTTTCTCAACTATTTAATGTTCCAAAACTGACTGTGTTTAACTGGATACTCGCCAAGACAGGCATTTTGACAATTTTGTATGTATTTTAACGTTTTAGCACAGTTAGCCACTCATTTTGGTATTTGCGGCTCACAAGCTGTTTGAGACTGAGTGCAGCTTGTGCGCTCCACTAATATAGATCAGTGGTGGTGCGCACGCTTTGGTATAAGCGCGAAACCTGCGGGAGTTACTAAAATAATGCGCAATACAAGCACTATTTAACCGAAGCGAATGAGACGTGTGTGTGAGAGAAGGGGTCGTCGGAGAGAAGAGAGTGAGAATGCGTGGCTGATGTTATTGCCTATGCCACTGGTAACAAAACGGATCGGCTCGAAATCGGAAAGAAGTGAGACTGACCGACCGATCACCGATCCGGGCCGATCATGAGGAAAATCGGCCGATTCCGATCCCTGGCCGATCGATCGGTGCATCTCTAATGGCTACATCTGAAAAGAACCTTATCCACAATCCTAAACAAACTACTTTATAGTCCCATGTTACACAGGTTCATTGAACACCCACTTCTTACTAAACCCCAATGTAAAGTTCTTGAAACATTCAGGAATTCACTGAGGACAGCATTTACAGTATGCTTACCTAAAACAGACTCTTGAGCCTTGGCAGGTGCTGGATCTGGTTCCTGGGCTGTCCTTTTCTGTCCTCTTGCAGCTCTATTACCAGTTTTCTTGGGAGTAGGCTCAGCCTTTTCTGCTGCAACTTCAGCGCTGTTGGCTACTCTGCCTCTTCTCTTTGGCAAAGGTTCCTTATTTACAGACTCATCCGTTACCTCAATCACCTCTTTCCTTTTCCTTTTGAGGGGAGTTGATGTCTTGCTATCAGTGGGCTCTGATTTGGGCGCAGAGGGAGCCACTGCCTTTCCTCTCCTCAATGGCTTGACATGTACCTGAGCTGCTTCTTGAGAGTCTTCAACGGGAGGTTCTTCTTTTTTCGCTCCCCTCCCTCTGCGGCCTCTGGGTGGCAGATCAGCTGATTGATTTGATTCTGTGGAGGTTGTCTCAGCTGGTAATTTGCATAATCTTTTGGATTTATTCAGCTGTGGTTCTTTTACATTTGTAGAAGTTTCAATATCTTTACAGATGACCAAATCTGAGGTCCAGTTAACCGTTTTTGGGGGTTTAATTTCATTAGCTTCCTCAACTGTAGCAGATTTTTTGATTGGGTTTTTAGAGATGCCCTTAGTTGAATCCTTCTGTTTTCTGCCATGGCTTCCTCTTTTCACTTTCTCCAGTGCAACAACTGTTGTATTCTCAACAGCAACAAATTCAGAATATTCTTGTCTCATGGTATTTTCTTCTTTCTTTGATTCAGGTGATTTTGCTGTTCTCCTGGTATGTTTAACAGGCTCTTCTGATGAAGCCATATCCTCGGTAACCTCAGACTCTGCCCTGGCAACTACTTTACGTGCACGGCTAGATATCACAGCAACTGGTGGTGCAGGGTCTGCAACAGCACGGCTACCTCTTTTGACAGAAACATCTGCAACCATTTCAGGTTCCTTTGCAATAACGGCCCTTTTTCGACCAGATTTCACAACAGGGGTCTCTGCTTGTTCAACTGGGCTGACAACGTTCTCCTCAACCTCAACTGAAACAGTCACCTTTGACTGCTTTGCCTTCCTATTCCCCCTCACAGATTTTACCACTGTTTCAGTGTGTTCTTCAGTCACAGGTAAACGTGTGCAGGTATCTATAGCAGGCTGGTCAACAACCTCTTCAGCTATTTGTGGTTTCTGCTGTTTAGCCTTTCTTCCTCTGCCAGACTTGACCACAAGTGTTTGAGGATCCTCTTTGTGGTCAACATCTGCCTCTGACACAGCTTTGGAAACAACAGTGACATCAACATCATCCAAGGGTTGGTACTTGACAGTTTCTTTTTTACCTTTCCTTCCACGCCCTGACTTTGCTACAGATGTCAGTGGCTTCTCAGCCACTACAACAACATGAGTGCTTGTAATTTCGCTTTCCAAAGCAGGGGTTGGCTCGGTTTTCAAGTGTTCCTTCTTTGCTGGCCTAGCCCTCCTACCTCTAGTTGCAGAGACAGTTTCAGTACCTAGTGAAGTCTGCAACTTGACATCCTCTGGTGCAACAGCATTTTCCTCACAAACAATTTCAGTTGTTTTCTGTTCAAGTTCTTCTGAAGGTTGGCTTTCTATTTTTTCCATCTTCTTTCTTCTCCCAGGTTTCACAACAGGGGCTTGGACCTGCTCTTCATTGGCATCAGGACACTGTGGGTCAACAGCATTTGCATCAACAGTGAGCGCAACTACAGCATCAGCATAATCTTGTTTAGTTTTCCTTCCTTTCCTGGTTTTGGTAACGACAGGAAGGCTGTCAGGTATATCAGTATTTATGGACTCTACAAGTACTTGGGAAGCCTCCGTATTCTTTGCCTCTTCTTCCACAAAGCTGTGCTTGGGAACTCTACCACGGGCTGATTTTCTGACTGGGCTGGCTGCTATTTCTGGAACTTCAAGAAGTTTCTTGCCTCTCCTTCCCCTGGTAGGGCTAGCAGGAATTGGACTACTCATATTTTCCTCTTCAATTAATGACAACACAGCAGGTGCTTTGGCCATTTCATTTTTGGATTTCTGTGCTGCTCTTCCTCGACTGCCACACTGAATTTTGTTGGCAGGTGGAGACTTGATTAGCTCCTCTTGCTCAGCAGTGGATGAAGTTGCGGTAGCTTCAACTGTTGCATTGGTATTGTCAGATACGCATACAGTTTCTTCAGACTGCTCCTGGGTTTTCTCATCTGCCCCAGAAGAAAAGACATCAATAGCTTCAACTGAAACTGACTCTTCATTCTGGTCAGGGTGTCTTTCCTGGGGAATTACAGTCTCAACCTCTTGATCACTCTGATTAGATTCAACTGCTTTAGCTGTGCACTGAAGATCCACAGATTTTACAACTTCAGTCTCCATGGTTTTAAATGGACAGACATTTTCTTTGTCACATTCCTCATCCAAACCTACAAGTCAAGACAACTTCATTTAGTAATCCAAGTAGTTAACTGTCATAAACGCCTAATTTCCCAAATTTTAGGACTAAGAACAACAAAATAGATGAGAACAAATGTGCATTATGCAGATTTAACTCACCTTCAACTGGCATGAATCCAGAGCCACTTTCCAATGGTTCTTGAATCTAAAGATGAAAAATACAAGGTTTTATTAAATTTGAAGGAAATAAAAACAACTCCCAATTACTTTTAAAACAAAGAATGAAGTCAACCATTACGGAATGTTTAGTGTGTAAGTAAAGCATCTATCCAAAGAAGCTTTACATATCTACAATGCAAGTAAGCAGCATGACAAAACTTACATTGTCAGCTAAATTATCTACTGAGAAAACATGGTGTGAGTGTTTAATGGGGTAACCTTGCCATTTACCTCAGTAGGCTCAGTCAATCTGCTTTCTGTTGTCAGGGAAGAGCTATTCTCTGGTTCATGTTCTTTAAGCCCAGTTGAATCCTGTGCCATTGCTTCTTTAAGTCGAGGGGTCTTTCTCAGGTCACTGATTCCAAACTGACTGCTGACAGGATCTCCTTTTTGCTTGGGAGTCTGCATTAACTGCTTCAATCCAGAGAAGTCTTCTACAGGTTCAACTTTCTCTTCGAGAGTCTGCATCAGCCTTTGTTCACCCATTTGATCTTCAACTGGTTCTCCTTTGTGTTTAGGGGTCTTCATCAGTTCTTTCACACCAGTCAGGTCTTCATGTTGCTCAGCCTTTTCTTTGGGTGTTCTCATAAGCCTCTGAAGACCAGCTGCGCAGAGTACAGGATTGCTCTTCAATTTTGGGGTCTGCATCACTCTTTTCACTCCAACCATGTCTTCTACTGGAGCTCCCCTGTATTTTGGAGTCTTTAGGAGTTCCTTAACACCTTCTAGACTTTCATCCTGGGAAGGTTTACATTCCTTGGGGGTCTTGAGCAGCTTTCCTCTTAAGTCCTCAATTGGTTCGGCCTTCTGTTTGGGTGTCTTCATGAGTCGCTTGACTCCAGTGAGGCACAAGGATGGTGCTGCTTTCTGTTTTGGGGTTTTGACTACTGCTTCAGGTGCAGCCTCCTCTTCCTCCGTTTGTACATCAGAAGGTGTCTCTACATCTGGAATGATGTCATGGCAACTTGCCTCATTTGAGTTGTCAGGGAGCTGAGAAAGACCTTCGTCTTCCAACAAACTACCATCCTGGTTGTCCATAAGTCGTCGTGTCACTGCTTCATTGTAGCAACGTTTGGCAGTGGAGACCACACTTAATGGTGACACCATCATTTCACCTATGTGGGGAAATGGAAAAACAACGGCATGAAATCAGAGTTATATCAAAACAATACACTGTAGATCACTTGTGACACAAATCTGAAACATTTACCTGATTCTTCTGGTGTTTTCATCACTGAAATCTCATCCAGAGGAATCTCTGGACATTCATTATTCACAGGAACTCTATTCTTAGACCTGGTGTTGGCTGGTGTTTTGAAAATCTCTGCAACACCTAACATTACACATAAAACATAGAACTTGAACTAACAATTTCATCAAACATTAATTGCATACATTGTTTTCGTCAACATTGAACAAACCTGTCAAGTCCTCATCCATTTTCATGTCCTTCTTGAATAGTGCTATGTTTGGCACTATTTTAGGAGCAGCACCAACAGACTGGTTAGTCCTCATATGGGCTTTGCCAACAACAATGGTAACTGGAGATGCTGCATGCCCAGTGCTGACAACATCTTTCAGCCTCCGTGCAGGTGTCTGTATAGGTAAGCAACAGTTAAACGCTGTTTGTAATAAAGCCACAAATTAATGAGCCATTCATTGAATAAAACCATTAACAGAAATTTGAACAATTAATCAGAACAAAAACCTTTATTTCGAGACTGATAATCTTTTGTATTTTACCTTGGGTTTTGGCACTGCAGTTTTCTTCATTATACTGCTCTTCGTAGTTTTTTTCTTAGTTATAACTTCCGTTTGAGGTTTGGTCTGACCAAACTTCACAATATCAGCCCAAGAGGTCAACACTTAAAGAAACAAACAAAAAATGTAAATAAATATTTAAGCTGATGAAAGATTTCGTATCATAAACAGGAATGCACTGGCATAACCAGTTTAAATGTTTCACCTTTTAGATTAGCCCGTGATGCTCCACTGCGTCTTGAACGCATGACATCAAGTGCACTTTTAATTGCACTTATGGGTGTTTTACTTGCAGAAGACTTCATGCTCTTTCTCCTTAAAGGTACCTTTGGTGTTACACATTTCTGGGGCACGTCTTCTACAATGGTTGACTGTGTTTCAGGCTCGTCCCCCTGGTCCTGGACAGGTGATGGAGTACTGATACGAGAGATTGAAAACCGCCCCTGCACCCTAGGTGTCTTAGTTAAAGACATGTCACCCACAGCCTCAGTCGCTGAAGTTGAAGCTCTCTTAGCAGATGCAGGTGTCCTGGGTGTAGCAGGAGTAGAGGATGATGTTGGTGCCTTGGTTGAAGCAGATGGTGACTTTTGAGGTTTAGGTGATGGAGTTTTAGCCTTGATACTCGGTGACCTTTGAGGTTTAGGTGATGGAGTTTTAGCCTTGATACTCGGTGACCTTTTGGCAGGTGATGGAGTTTTAGCCTTGGTACTCTGTGCCTTTTTGCCAGGTGATGGAGTCTTTGCTGGAGATGCTGTCCGTTTGGGTAAAGCTCTCTTTGGAGAACGTTTTTGCACCTCTGGAAAGGTTTCTTCAAGTCGAAGAGCCTAAAAAAATGAAGGGGAAAAACTGGATTAAAAGCCTTCAGAAGTTTCAAAGATTTAATAGTCCTAAAAAAAGCTGTTTTATGCATTACCAAAAGACCAATGGCAGATGCTCGTCGTAGAAGAGATTGGGGTTTTTGGGAAAGACCCAAACTGTGTCGTGGGGTTGCCCCACGGCAAAGGGGAGAATTTGGAGGCAGGCGTTTGTCAAATAGCTCGGGGCTTAACAGACCACCAAAGGACACTCGCTTTTTCTTTGCTTTTGGAATGGTTACTTCATTGTGAGATTCATTACTGTCACATAGCTCATCTGTAGAACAAAGCAAAAGTATGATGAATATGACTTAAATAGGCACACATATTTGCAACATTTTTCAAAATGACAAATGGTGGATTCAGAATGCAGACACTTCTAATGTGTTACAAATTCATTCATAAGAACAAGCTTCAAAACAAGCCATCTCACCTTGCTTCTTAGAAGCTGATGTGGTAGCCGTAATTTTAGGCAGAGCATCTTGGACTTGAAACCTTTTGCCAGCATTTGCTCTTGGAGATGTTCTTGGTGACATTTTCACTTCAGTGTTCTTATCCTCTGAGCCTGGAGTCTGAGGCTGGACTGTAGGCATTTGATGAGCAAGGCTCTGATTCTGTGATCCACTACTTCTCCTTCCTTTTGGGGATTTAGGAGTTTTCTCTTCAGGCCGTGGCTCTAAGAGAATCTGCTGGACTACCTCACCAGCACTGAACTTCAGAGGTGTTTTCAAGGGTGTTCTCTTCTTCTGGGAGAAAGGAGTTATACTTTTCTCCATCAATGAGGGGGTACTGGCCCCTACAGATAGCATATCGTCATTGGGTTTTTCCTCCACATTTGCATTCAATGAGCTCTGAGGGATAGCTGGTACAGTTGTATCTTCAGAATTGGATTTTGAGGATCTTCGCTTCTTGGTAGATGGGGTTGGGACCTGTATCGGACTACTTTTAACATCTGCAGCAAGAACTTTCTCGTGACCAACCTGAGGTCTTGCAAGAGGTGTTTTTGGTAGCTCCGACTTCCATGGTGATTTTGCAGCAAGGTCCTGTTTGACCATTTGGTACAGCTCACAAAAAGGTGACATACTGTCTTTTTTAAGTTTGCCGCCTTCTGGTTCATTCTCAAAAGTTTGTTCCACAGATGGTGGCAAATTTGACCCATCTTTTAAACAAGTGTCTGTAAGTACAGTACACATGAAAATCATTGGTATTAAATCATATTTTAAAAATAATTATTATTATTATTACTATTATTCTACTACTACCAGGGCTTGACAGTGCAAGCATTTCACTCGCATTTGCGACTAAACATAGATATGTACAAACTAGAAAATGTATTTAGGAGCATAAGTGCGAATACAATTACAAAATACAAAACAGCCTAACTTACACAGTAGCCTATAACAAACGTATTCATTTCTTCAATTTATTTATGAAAAAAATAGCGATACAGCCTCATATGATTACTGAACTTTAAAAAGGCAACGATTTAATTTAAATTGTCGCGTCGCGTGTAGTTAGGACACAGTGTATTTTTATTTCATTCAGTTGAACTTAATCTTTTGCACTCTAATCTTGAAACACCTGTTTACTTTATATTTTTGTGTATTTTTTTTTCTTTAGTAAAAGATCTTTAATAAAGTTATTTAACCTGTTAGGAGGACAACACTTTTTTTCACTTAGTAATTATATATTGTGATAAAAAAACAAAACAAAACACATACTGTGACAAAAGCTTCAACTTTTGATACCGTCACATTCCTAATGTACATACAATTTAATAGGACCATAAATAATTACATAATTATCCTATTAAATAGAGTCTGAAGCTAAATTATTTAAAAACCTTGTGTACTTTCTGTATTCTGATCAATTTAATAATTGTGCAGGTAAATGTCTCCTTAACACCCCCTTATTAAGCTAAAACACATAATTTGAAAAATTTGCATTGCACACCTAAATTTTTTTTAATGCGCTCCTAAATTGTTCAACTTAAAGGGATAGTTCACCCAAAAATGAAAATTTGATGTTTTTTTTACACTCATAGACTTTGTTACCATTGCCATCCATTATAAGACTGATGGACTCCAACGAAATAATATTTTAGTTGGACTTAAAAATCATCAAATGTGTTCTACTGAAGAAACAAAGTCGCCTACATCTTGGATGCCCTGGGGGTAAGCAGATAAACATCAAATTTTCATTTTTGGGTGAACTATCCCTTTAAGAGCACATGTGCTCCTTGGGAAAAAGGCAAGCGTCAAGCCCTGACTACTACTACTACTAATATAACAGAAACAAAGACTAAAGCCTCAAATCTCATGATCACTAACCAAACGAATGCTCTGACTTGCTCTTGTCCACAGGAACAGGTGTGCCCTTTTCCTGCTGCTCTTGCAAAGCCTACAGGAAAAAAAGAACCAAAATTCAACAAAGAAATAAATGATAAATGAACAAAAAATACCTATCATCTGTCTCGCAAGACTCACATAAAGTACACACCTGGACTGCTTTGTCGTTTCCAGGTGTGGACAGCGTCTTCTTCTGTGTTTTAGGAGGTGGGTACTCAAACCTGACATTTTGACAAGAATAAACCACATAAAACTAATTCTACCAAACAAGGATTGTCCAAGAAAGATTTTTTTCCAGCATTAAAATAATAGCAAACATCTGACTCACCTGAAAGAACGATCAATGATTGTGATGACATCACCATGCTTTAAACGTTCTGATTGATTAAGAACTTGTCCATTAATACATGTGGGGTTCACGGAGCTCAAATTGGTCAAAATGAGCTTAAACAAGAGAGAAAAGTCAATACATGAATAGCATGTCATGTGTTCGTTTGTGGAAAGAAAAAGAAAACAAGACAAATTGAAACTTAGTTTAACAACACAATATAATTACCTCCTTGTTCTCATTCAGCTCAATTTTACAATGCTCTTTAGACACCTGTGGCAGCTGAATCCGAATATCACAGTCTAGCTTCCTAGAGCAGTAAAAAGAGTCCACATTAAAACTCCTATGCCCATTTGCCTTACTGGTGAATATGAAACATGATACTTGGTGTAAGACATCAAAGACATGAATTTCTCTCACATTTATTGGGTCATTCTAGTTTCACCACACATTACTTAAATATACAACATTACTCACTCAAGAGTACATTAATAATTGGTTGTTCAAGATTTCATTGTTAAATTGTACACACTAAAACATGCATATTTAATGTCACCATTCACTATTGTTCACTCACATCAACAGACAAAATGTTTAAAGGGGTCATATGATGTTGCTAAAAATAACATTATTTTGTGTATTTGGTGTAAAGAAATGTTTATGCGGTTTAAAGTTAAAAAAAAAAAATTATTTTCCACATACTGTACATTATTGTTTCTCCGCTATGCCCCGCCTTTTTGAAACGCGTCGATTTTTACAAAGCTCATCGGTCTGAAAAAGCAAGGTGTGCTGTGATTGGCCAGCTATCCAGTGCGTTGTGATTGGCCGAATACCTCAAGCGTGAGACGGAAATGTTACACCCCTCACCATACTGTTGTATTCCCTCAGCGACCAGCACGGATCAGCTCTAGGCAAGACAAAGCGGCTATCGTCCTCTTTTGGAAGACCAAACAAAGTAGTTTCGCTTTCACAACGAAGCACACAGCGTCTTCAGGATATGGCGGCGGCAACAATACTACAGCGAGAACAAAAGTTACGCCTTCTTTCTTTGTGTGAACATTTGGGCGGCGTTATGCAAATCTTCCCACAGAGCGACGTAGACATGTGGGGGCGTGTTAGAACGAGCCGTTTTAGGTAGGTGTGGCTGACTCTTAACTTTTATAAAGAATATCTCTTTGGATTTGAGACTTTAGTCTTTGCAACTTTTCAGATCTTCTTTATGCACCAAGAGCTTGTAACACTCCAAAGAGAAAGGAAAAATTGAAATCGCATCTTATGACCCCTTTAAACATTACTTCAGGTTGGCTGAAAGTTGTGTTGTCAAAATGAATATTTAATAAATAAAAAAACTCAGTGTTTCTTTACGATTTTGTGATAGATGTAGTTTCACTGATACGAGTCTTAACACTTTATTGTCCTTTAATATATTTTTAAGCGTTTAAATTACATTAACAATTGTTGTGTATGTTTCATTGGTATCTGGTGCTGTAAAATCGCCTGTTTGTCACAAATATGCATTGAAAATGTGAAAAATACTTATAGTAAGACAATTTTCTCAACCAGCCACCATTGGCAACATCTGAGACAACGGACGTTGCATAACATAACTATAATTTTAATAAACAGATATAGGAGTTATACTCCGTCTCACGAATCGCTACAATGAGCAGGAATGCAAATCATTTAGAGTAACGCATTCTGATTGGCTAGAGTGGTTGCCTGCGTCAAATTTGGACATCAATGAAAAGCCCGCCTGGCATCAAACGAGCAGAACAGCGCATGTCCCAAACATTTACAGTTCTTTATCAATTGCAATTAAGAAGATACTTGTAACCAAATGTTAAAGATTTTAAGCAGGTGCACTTCAATTTTACTTGCAGTGATTGTGTGTATGTGCTACAGTAGTAGTCATATACAGTTTATTTGTTGTTCATGCACCTCACTGTACTACTTGGCAGTATTTTAAGTTAAAACCTAAACAGCTATGTAAGCCATGATTATAAAAAGTGTTACTGACCTTCCGAACAGACAGGATGCTGTGAGGGGGAATTCAGTGCCATCTCCTCCATTTCTCTTGATCACCACTATCTTCCCAAACAAAGGCATTTCAAAGCAACTTACCTTGTTTAGCAAACACAAAAGACCAAAAAAAAAAAGAACAACCTCGTGAATGGTGTGAATTTTTATCGACGTAAATGCAATATTTTACTGTAACTTTTCTTTGAAACCTAACTCGAATATCATCCTTGATGTTAAATACAATATACTATAGAAAGAACAATTTCTTAATATTCTGCATTAATGCATAATTTCAACATATTTTGCGTTCACATTCACAATTGAAGACACGAGATCAGCACATGGCCAAAGGCATTTAAAACACTACGTAACAGGCAGAAAGCTCAGGTTAAATCCACATTTACTTGTTTTAGTGATTGAGAGGACTCAAATATTGCCAACAATATCGTGACCACACTCACTGAAAATAATGTTAGCGATTTGTTTTAATTGTAACTAAGTCACGCATCTGTCGATAGCATAGTGTGTCAATAATGTTTGCGCAGTTCCTTTGTATCCTTGAAATGAAAATAACCGAGGATTTACCTGAGATTGTGTAACGTTATATCAACACTATAAAATATATTCCATCGATGTCAAACCCTGGTTTTTAAAAACCAGCTTAATCCGGCATTAAGATTATTGTCCCGGTCGCTCCTGCCGTTACTAACTCAAACTAACGTTACTACTTCCAAACATCAGCACACTGGGTCCATCTACACAGGCAGCGAGTGTTTCCGTCTTGACTGACAGCATATATCCCTCCGCAAAAAAAAACAAAACAACTACCAGTTATTTGCTCAAATATAATATAAAATCGCATAATGGATGGAGCTAGCTAATTGGAGCCTTGTTCAAAGGTTGATTTAGCGTGTAATGCATTACAAAAATGAAGGACTACTTTCTTTGTCAATCTGCGGAGGGATATAAGACGGATAACTACCAATGTTTGAAAATTATTCAAAATTCCGCGCGAGGGCTTCTGGTTGGCCCGTAGTAATACTTGCTACTTTTCATAGCCAATAGGATCTTGTGTTGACGTAACGCGACAGAAAAGCTGGCCAATTAAATCACGTTAAATGTGCAATTGCTCTTTTAAACTAGATGCGTCCCGCCCTAGCCTGATAAGACGGCGGAAGCAGTGAAGCATGATTGCAAAGAAGGAAATAGTAAAACTGTTTATGCGCACAATAAAAGTGATCACACAAAATCACTTAAAGTGTCTTATTGAAAATGCCTTATTGTAGTGTATATTCTAATACAATACTTAGGTTGTTTCCCTTCATTTATTTTTATTTTACAGTAACAAACCCAATATTGTTGTGTACAGCAGGAGTAAAATATATCATATAAATTTATATCAAATAAATGACTTACCTGTACAGTAAAGAATATAAACATGGATAAATTAACATAATACATTACATTAATTCAAAATATACAGAAAAGGCGAGCATCAGTATTGATCCTATTGTAATTAGCAATATTATACCTAAACCTATATAGGGATAAGGCGTTATATGGTACCCTCAAAGGTAAAAGGCTTTTCCTTTTTTTTTAATGTACAGTTAGATATAGGCTAATAGTTTGTAATTGACTCTGTACCTAATTTCACTCCAACATTAATTCTTGGGGCAGAACTTTACAAAGTCCTAGTCTCTGTAATGCATAGTCATAAGATATTTACCTTTATTGATCTAATACGCCGCCTTCAGATTTGTAAACAGAAGAAAACTGAAGAAAAAAAATCGAACTTGATGTTTCTAACTTCTTTTGCCCCTGTATCTGAAATAAAAAAAAGAGGCAATGAATGAATACTGATATAACCATCTAAAAAAGAACAATATGTTGCACATATTATGCTGGCATTATTCTAAAATAAATCTTATACAATACTAAAGTGGTTTATTTTGTGACAATATCCACTGTCTGTATGTTATCATAATTTATATTTGATCATACACTTAAATTACTGTAATTATTTCAGTGTTTAATTTCGTGCTATTGTCATGGAACAAACAACGGTCTTCTCAAATTTGTCAATGAAGTTCCAGATCTCAAAATAAGACTTTATTGAACACAGCAATAAAGCCGAGGTGATCAGAATCTGTTCTGTCCAGGCATCAGCTTTTATACCTTATTCTTATCAGCTATTGACCAATGGTATCACAGTTCTGTTGATATCTCTCCTCTGGTTTGCTACCATTAATTTTTTTACTTTTCCTGGTATACTTTCTAATAGTGGAATCCTGCTAGTTTGAAACATTTTCCTAATAATTTTTATCTCTCCCGTCCCACTGGATGCAGGTGTCCTTCTTGGAAGTCACCCAAAGGTCACTGGTTTACTCAAGTTCATCGCTGACCAATGGAAAGCGCCGTACTTGCCAATTGGAAAGCACCTAGGACTCACAGTCTGTATTAAGACATCCAATATTAAAACAATCATCATATTGATCAATCTATTGATTATTGTTGTAGCCATACATAATTTTTTTGAATTAAATATCACAACACTATTAAGCATAAAGCTAGAACCACTGGATGTCCTTGCCATGCCTGAAATTCCATCTTATATCATTTGTTTCTTAGCATTATGTGCAATGGCATCTCGGTATGAACTTAAAAACAACATATCACATTTCTGGCTAAACAAGCATAATGTGTAATGAGACTTAATTTTTTTTTAATGATTTTATTGTTTGTTTCTTTGTAATCTTGTTCTCATTTGAAAAACAACCATCAAAAATGATCACACTCACTTCTGCACTCCTTGATAATGGTGAATTATGAAAGGTTTTTGACAGTCTACACAAAACATGTTCAAACTCACAGCAATAGCTATTGATGCTTAATGTTCTTAGACATCAGATCTAGCAATACTAGCAAATTAATTTGACTGAAGTAAGTTCAATCATCGGTGATACCATTTTTAACAGTCACAACATGTTTATTAAAGAAACAACCAGTTGTCCTTTTCAGAAACAAGAGAAAGAAATTATTGACAGGTAATGCATGTATTCCCATGAAGCAACCTGCAGACACTGTGCAACTGTTCTTAAAGAAATGTATTTAGCACCTCAGTATATCTTTGATCTGCAATCAGCATATGCCCTTGTCACATTCATTAGAAAACTGATCTAATATCAACATTATTTCTCTTAAGTCAAAGGGACCCAAGGAAAACATAAGGCATTGAAAACAGCATGTAAACAGGGGCTGGGTGCACAATAGGAACCGTTTTCATGCTTTTTTTGCACACCAGCACTTTCATTCTTCCATCATAGACCATGCTTCCTCTGCTTTCATGTAGTACTGATTGGCCAGTCTGCCTTTCATGGCCTCCATAGCTGCATCAGCAGCCTCAGTGAAAAGATCACCTACAAAATTTAAAGACATCATAACTCACACATGCATACAATTCCAATTTAAAATGTTACAACAAATTCAGGACACATTTAAAAAGCAAAACTGCCCATTTTAATTATATGATATTGTAAAGGAGCTAAGTATCCCTATAGTAACTTGTGTGTGTCATTTGAAAAAAAAAAACGACCATACTGTACATCTGCGCTGTTTTATTTTTTTCTTTTAAGTTTTTATTATACAAATTATTTTAAAAGTCACAGGACAATGTTATAAAGCATTAATTTTCCATTGCTTTTGCTTTGGTATAATAACACTTACTGATTTTGTGCTGGGCAGATAAAGTACAGGGTGAATTCAAAGCATTAAAACATGCGCAACTAAAATTATTCAATAAACCCCACTCATTTTAAAGCATCACTTCGTCTCCTGCTCCCTGCTATTTCACAGCTTCCTCTGTCAAACTCTCAGGCTGATAAGACAGTTTTGAATACCAGACAAAATGGATGTCCTCTGACGGGATCTGGTAAAGACACTGCATCCAATAATCCTGGCATGGAGACTCGATCTAATATTTTTGGTCAGCAGTATATCGGCACGATCTTAACATTATATTGTATTGTTGTAACACTTTCCAATGTTAAATCTTAAGTTCTGCAGAAGAATGACTGTGCTTTAGAGCATGAGCAGGGGCGCATTAATGCACAGGCTTCTATGAGATGAAGCCCAGGGGCCTACTGGCTGCACAACAAATTATATTTTTAAATAATTTTTTTTTGTATATCAAAAACAGCATTCTATAACTAAATTCACACCCGTAAATTTTCAGGACTAACAACCGCGTTTTCGGTGAAGCCCTGCGGTGTGAACGGAACCTGACAGCACAACTAGTTATGTCATACAGTGTGTAATGTCATGTAATGTCATACAGTGTGAGAATGCGGGTTTGATAACTTACAATGGCATGGATAGAAACTGTGCCATCTGAAGGTCCAATACTGTCTTCCATCGGAGCGGTTTCAATGAGTTTTGTGGTCTGCGCGCAACTTAAATACTCTGCTCTCACTCTGGTATTAAAGCTGCTGTCAGTTAATTTTGAGGATGAAATTGAGCATCAAATTTTTTCGTTTCACATGTAATAAGACCGTTTTATTTTAGTCACTGTCACAATGGTTACAGTTCATATACCCTATTGCACATTCATAGATGCTATTGCAAGTGGTGGGGTGAACAGGATATTTCGACACAAATTCTCAAATGATTCTCAAAACTGGCCTTGGTTAAAAACAAACAAACAAACAAAAACTAAAGTCTAGCCAAAATTGGATTTTACTGATGTTATCATGGACTTTTCAAACAGAAAAACAATGCCGATAAGTTTCTAAAGTAATGTCACTTGAATTTATTCATACATATGCATTAATTAAAATCTGTATGTAATGACTACATGATACAATGTCTAGTGATATTTTCATTCGGGCTGGTGGGGGTCTACTGTAGCCTAAAATAAGCCCCAAGTATACTTATACATTTTTGTATGCGTACGCTTGCATATGCATTTAGCCGAACACGTAGTATACTTCATTTGATGTTGTGCGCGAACGCAGGCAGTCCACACATGCGCTTTAGAAAACTTCATCCATGCTCAATGTCTGCTCTATTTTTCCCTTTTAAGTTATGACCAATAACAAATATTTTTGAACTCTTTTAAACCAAAGCTGAACTGTCTCATACCCTCTCACTCACAAGCGCTTGTGAATCCGAGCATCTGTTGTTGTTGCAGTCTCTGCTATTTTGATGTTGTTGTTCAGCCTCTCTAGTTTCATTTTCTGCTTTTCCACAATGGCCCAGGACAGTGTTGCCACCTTGTGGAACAACTGATTAGTGCAAAACAAATTCAATGCGCATGTGCAACCTGCGCGTACAAAGTATGCACAGTTACAATAATCGGGTGGTGCATGTATAGTACGCGCATACTGTTCTGATGACAAAATTCGCGTCACGTGCACTTTACACTGATCCTCGCATACTTCCCTCGCACCTCGGAAAAAGTGACGTATACTTTGGGCTTAATGCTGTAGCCCACAGGTCTCTGGTTATCTAAAGGTGTCCCTGAGCATGAGATACACTCACCTGCTCTTTGGGGGTCTACATCCAAGTTGTGCCCTCCCTCCTGGTACATCTCAGCCAATCGTGCCAACAGAAGGTAGCGCGGCTCATCTTTTATCCCATCAAACTCTCCCCCCTCGTCGTAGTCTGTCATCTTAAGGGCAAAGTCATACCAGTGCATGGCGTGTTTCCAGTCCATAACCCTGCATTTTAAAATTCCAAAATTAAAGTTTCAGCCCTAAACACATCTTGGTCCAAAAAGACAAAAAAT